GTGGCAAGAATTCAATAATTTGAGCCATCACTGTTGCCTCCTAGGTTCTATGTTAACAGGATTCTGGAGTCAGCAGCTAGCACAGGCGCCTGGCAGTGAATCAATGAGAAAACAGTAGTATCATCAGAAGAACGACTTGCAAAATGATTTCCTAAGTCTTCTATGATAATTGGCAAATTCACTCCCTGCAGCAAACTAAGCAACAATAAAACCAAGAAAACTACAGAGCATGTCATCCCAGTGGATCATTCATTATTGTACTTGGGCCATAAGAAAATACCATAGACTCATGGGTAATTTAAGCAACATAAATTTATCTTCTCATAGTTCTGGAGGGTGGAAGTTCAACTTCAGGGAGTCAGGAAGGCTGAGATATGGTGATGGTTTTTTTCCTGACCGCTGCTCTCTCACTGTGTGGTCCCATTCAGGGGTGGAGAACACCGGGCCCATGGGCCTTCTATGACTGTGAAATCCTTTGGTCTGGTCCTGCCAGGGCAACCATAGATGGGACTGGAAATTCAATACATCTATAGCAGGCTAATTTTTAAATTGATAATTTTATGTGGCCTGTGAAAGATGTTATAAATATTCAAACAGTCCTTGGCAGAAAAAGATTTGCCACCTCTGCTGAGCTTAACCTGAGTGTGAGTGAGTGTGTGTCTGTGGGTGTGTGTATGTTGGAAAGAGGAAGTTTGATAAAGCACCCACTGGCCTAGTATTGCTATATATGTTCAGAGTAAGACTCCAGGATAGAGGTGAAAATGATAAGACTACTAAAATGTTAGAGTGCCAATTGGTAAGGTTCTCCATCAATCAATGAATTTACCTTACTCTAATACTCAAGATATGACAAGTACAGTTTGGATCAATGGCAAATTCAGACTCAAAGGGAAAAAAAATACAGATCCATTTCTTACAACTTGCTTCTCACAATAATTTTTGGTACCCCTAAGTGTAAGTTTCCTAAACACCATCGAAGTACATTTAAAGCTTTTCCTTCATCACCTGCTTCAATGGGAATGAATAAATTGATAAAAATACAAATGAGTACATCCAAAAATGATTCACAGATTATTGAAAAGACAGAAGATGACCCAAGTGTTTGTGCCCCTGCCATTTGTGCGAGAGACCCAGATGAAACTCCAGATTCTTGGAGTCAGCCTGGCCCAGCCCTAGACATTGAAACCATCTGAGGAGTGAACCAGCAGATGGAAGATCTCTCTTTCTCTGTCTGTCCCTCCCCCTGCCTCACCTTACAGCCCCCAGTAACTCTGACTTTCAAATTAGTGGATACACCTTTTCCAAAATGGTTTCAAGTTAGAAGGCTGCATTCAAAGTAAAGAACATCAAAGTTACAATAAAACTTTTAAAAGAGCAAAATACTTAACAGATATGTACATATGAAAAATAAGCATGTAACAAAATGTTACTGAGGAAGTACAAATTAAATCTCAGCACACTGTTGCTATACACTAAACAAATGGCTAAAATAAAAGAGAACAACCATATTAACTCCTGGTGAAGATATTGAACAACTGCATGATTGTAGTAGCGATGGATATTGATATATCCATTCTAGAAAGTTTGGAAATTTCCTAAAAAGTTAAAACATACACTAACCATACAATCAAACCAGACCATACCTAGGTTTCACAAGAAGGAAAGGAAAGCATATGTCAGCACAAAACTTGAACACAACTGTTAATAAGAGATTTCTTTGTAATTGCACCAAACTGAAAACAACTCAAGTGTCCTTCAACAGGTGAAGAGAGAAACAAATTGTGATCTATTCATACAGTGAAAAAAAAAATCACAGCAATTAAAAAGGAACAAAATACTGATGCACAAAACAACCTGAAAGAAAAATTATGCTGAATGAGAGGAAGACTTGAGTGTAGCAGTGAATATGCCCATATTTCACATCCTAGTGTTTGGGTTCAATACCTGGCTCTAGCTCCTGACTCCAGCTTTCTGCCTATGCAGGCCATTTCAAGTAACTGGGTACCTGCCACCCACATGAAAGACTTAGATTGTCTTCCTAGCTCCAAGCTTTAGCCTTGTTCCAACCTTGACCATTCGAGGCATTTGGAGGGGAGGAGGGGATGTGTGAACCAATAGATGGGAGTTCTCTCTATCTGACCCTTTCCTTCTCTTTCTCTGCCTCTCAAATTATAAAAGAAAAATGTGCTGTGTGAAATAAGCCAGATACCCCTCAAACAAAAAGAGCATGCCTATGTATGATTATGGTTTCAGAAAATTCTAGAAAGCTCAAACTAATCCTTCCTGATAGAAAGCAGATCGGTGTTGCTTGGAGAAAGGGGACTATAAAGCTAAGAAAGAAAACCTAGGGGTTCTGGGCAAGCTCATTACCTTTATTAGGTGTGATCAGTCAAGACTCATTAGCAAGTAAATTTTCAATATATGTAGTATAATAAAGTCAATTATATCTTGCTAAAGCTATAAGTGTAACTAAAATAAACACAACCCTGTACGAATAGACGTCAGGTAGTGGTTACCCTTGGTGTGCATGGGTAGTCACTGAAGGTGGGGCATACCAATATTCTTAGTGGCACACATGCGTTCACATTATGAAATTAGTTGGCATTTAGGATGTGCATACTTTTATACTTGGGTGTCATGCTTCTGTAAACATTTTACTTTAAGATTACTACATACAAAGTTTTCCCTTATCAGTATAGAGAAGACCAACATGGAACATACCAAGCAGGTTTTTGAAAACACACGATGGTAGCCGGCACCATGGCTAAAAAGGCTAATCCTCCACCTTGCAGCGCCAGCACACTGGGTTCTAGTCCAGGTCGGGGCGCCGGATTCTGTCCCGGTTGCCCCTCTTCCAGGCCAGCTCTCTGCTATGGCCCCGGAGTGCAATGGAGGATGGCCCAAGTGCTTGGGCCCTGTACCCACATGGGAGACCAGAAGCACCTGGCTCCTGGCTTTGGATCAGCGCGTTGTGCCGGCCGCAGCATGCTGGCCGCAGTGGCCATTGGAGGGTGAACCAACGGCAAAAAAGGAAGACCTTTCTCTCTGTCTCTCTCTCTCACTGTCCACTCTGCCTGTCAAAAATAAAAGAAAAATAAAAGAAAAAAAAATAAAATAAAATAAAACACACAATGGGGACAACGGGGTTGGGGGTGGGGAGGAGGAAGGCTGAGAAAGACATAGACAGCACTGTAGGCTAAATCTAAACCCTACTTCATTGAAACATAGCATGAAACTTCTCCCCAGCTCCTGACTCTACAGGGACCTCTCATTTCCAAACTAGCTATCTTTGTCAAAAACATGGTATTTTTTTCTTATATCCCTTTCTCTGGGCATTATTTCTAAATGTGGGTTTTTCAGAAGTGTTCTTTAGCAGCAGAAATTATCTGGTGCAAAGTGTTGCATGGTTGAAAATGTTAGAAACTTTCATGTTATTAATTTTTATTTATTTGAAAGGTGGGGTGAGAGGAGACAGAGAGAATGTTCCATCTACTAGTTCACATTCCAAATGCCCACAACAGCTGAAGTTTGGCTAGGTGAAAGCCAGGAGCAAGGAACTCCATCTGAGTCTCCACGTGGGTGGCAGGTGCCCAAGGACTTGAGCCATCATCTGCTGCCTCCCAGGGTATACATAAGAGAAAGCTGGATCAGAAGCAGCGGTGGGACTGAAACCCAGGCACTTAGATATGGAATTCAGGCACTACAAGTAGCTGCTTAACCTGCTGTGCACAATGCCTCCCGCGAATTTATATTACTCAAGGCTAAACTGTGTTCCTCCCTAGGGTACTTTAAAAACAAAACTTTAATATATTAAAATATGCCGTGAGTCCCTTACAAGGTTATGCAATGTTTCTCAAACTTATCTATTCATAGAATCTCCTTTTTTTAGAACAGCACTTAAAGAACTAATATTCTAAGAAATAAACACATAATTCTGTAAATTCGGTATCCAGCGTGGGCATTTACTATTACAGTTAAAAGATGTACTCTCAAATAAGATCATCTGTGTCTGAATCCAGGGTCTTTTCCTTTGTTACTTGTGTGACCTCTGAGTGCTGAGTTTATCTCTAAAAAGGAGATGATAAAACTACAATTTTTGCAGGGAATAAAATGACCAAACAGGTGCTCATATGTATAACAATGCTTGCTACATAAGTGAGCATTGAAGTTCACTGTTAAAATTATTTTTAAAAGTTGCCTAGGGGGCAGCGTTGGGCCTAGTGAGTAAAGCCACTGCCTGCAGTGGTGGTATCCCATATGGGTGCCAGTTCAGGTCCTGGCTGCTCCACTTTTGATCCAGCTCTCCGCTGAGGCCTGCCTGTGGGACAGCAGTGGAGGATGGCCCAAGTCCTTGAACCTCTGCACCCACATGGGAGACCCAGAGGAAGCTTCTGGCTCCTACCTTCGGATCTGCACAGCTCTGGCCATTGCGGCCAATTGGGGAGTGAACCAGTGAATGGAAGACCTCTCTCTCTCTCTCTCTCTCTCTGCCTCTCATTCTATCTGTGTAACTCTGACTTTCAAATAAACAAATAAATTAAAAAAAAAAAAAAAGAAATTGCCTAACCAAGAACTACAAGGGCAGAGATCCTGTTCCATTATTGACCTTGATAGACTGGATTTAGTTTCCATCTTCCCGCTCTTTATCAAAGTGGCAAAAGTCAGGCAATAGAATCATGATAACCCCCACCACTAGTATGCGTGATTAAGACACGAACTCCTTGAGCCAGAGACCATATCTGTCCATCATCTTCCTTTCTGAGGGTTAGAATTGAGCCGAATCAGGCTAAGAACATTAGGAACTCTGAGATGCCTAGTATGAGGGAATCTAAACCACTGGAAGTAACCGTGAAGTTGATCTTGAGCCAAGATGATCTGTGCTCTGGATCAGCAACATGAAAATGTGTCAGTAAAATATGAGAGAGGACTGCTTTGAAACAAATTTTACTTGGGTTTACTGGGATGATGTAAATGAGTCCCAAAGTCAGGATTCTACTTACCAAACCTTCCCAGCAGATGACAGCTGTGAGACTTGAGGATTGTAGCCAAATGGCTTTAAGTGTTTGCTTTCTTGTGAGAAGGATGTCAGGATTCTGTTCATCCTCCACACTGCCTGCTGTTTAGTTGCACATAGTAGGTGTCACCAATGTTCTTTTGAGCATGTGCCATGATCAGAAAGGGGAATGACAGTGGTAAGACCAGCACTGTCACTCTCCCACTCCTGTTGCAGAAGGAAAGAAAACAAACAAGAATGGTGAATGCATAAAGCAGAGAGAAAGGGAGAATTTTCCAGTAGCAAAACAAAGATGACTCCCCTACAGAAAACATGTTTTGCATCTCAAAGAACAGAGACACAAGGGAGAGTAAGATACTGCTTACCTTCCAAGATTTCTTCAAGGGTTAACTTCTGTAGGCGAAATACTCTGAAGCCACGGGGATGAAAACTGCTTGAATAGAAAGTCTCACCATGGTGACCTGCTGCATTATGGAGCTGCTATTTTTAGCCCAAATTCGTGCTGCTCTGGGTCAGAGCAGGGGACATCTGTGGAGAGAGGAATGAATTGCTTGCAGCAAGACAAGTTCTGATGAATAATTACTTGTGCTATAATGTGCAGTCAGGGCCAACTCCGCAGCACACACTGAAAAGTGAGCCTTCCAGGAAGTAAACATGAGCAGGTCCTCAGCGGCGGCTGTGGCTTCCAGCACTAATGATACTTGGCAGTACTGCCAGGATGATCAAAAATTAATTGATTTGTTGTGAACCCTACTAAAGGTTAGCGCTAACGCTGGTGTTATACAATGCAGCTACATTTTCAAAGCACTTTATAATCAGTAATTATTTTTGTATGCCAGCGTTCCAAGGAAGTCAAAGCTACTTTTCATTGTAATTTTAATGTTATCTTTTCAACCTTATAGTCACAAACTCTAGACTTTTTACTAAGTGCAAAGGCACGTTCACAAATTTCATGCATCAAGAAACAGGTAAAATTTCTTGGTTTTATGCACTTATAGCTGTTTCTTTCTTTTATGCACTTATAGCTGTTTCTTTTTCTACTTTCTTACAACCCAATGGTGCCAGCACCTAGCTAACTCTAGCTCCTAACACCCATCAGATGGTCCCAATAGGTCAGAAGAGGCTTCACCACTGAATCTGGATCCAGTTTTAGGGCTGTCAAGGCTTAACTTTATCCTTTATTTAAAAAATAATTCATCAATTGTGGGTGCAGCAGGTCAGATGCCTGAATGCTTGGATACAAGTCCGAACTCCACTTCTTATTCCAGCTTCCTGTTAATGTGCAACCTGGGAGGCAATGCTGATGGCTTAAGTAACTAGGTCCTCACCACCCATGTGGGAGACCTAGATTGAGTTCTAGGTTCCTGATTTCAGCTTGGTCAGCCCTGGCTTTTGAGGGCATTTGGAAAATGAACCAGCAATTGGGAGATCTCTTTCTTTCTGTCTGTCTCTGTCTCTTTCTCTATGTCTCCGCCTTTCAAATAAACAAAAATAAGTAAAGGTACTGGAAAATAAAAATAACTAATTAGACACATTAAATGAGTATCTAGAAAGTGTTAGAAATAACTTGTAATATTTTTGAGGATTTTGTTTTCATTATACAAGTATCATTTACTATACAACAAATTAGAAAAAAATGTAACTCAACATTTTGATTCATATCCTTTGTTTTTAAAATGCATTTATGCTTATGTTGTGTCCAATCATTGGAGCCTGACTTTTATTTGATATTTTCTGAACTTTCCTGCATATATACATTCTCAGAAAACATGTCAATGCCTCTTAATTATTTTTCTATAAACATATCTATTTAGAGATCTGAATAAACACAATTCACAGTATCTGCCTTGTTAGTGAACGAAGTAATAAGAATAGACTTTACTTATCTAGTTGGTAAAGTGAATAAGTTCTTTGTAATTGTTGACAACCATGCACTAACCTCTCCAGCACTCTGTCCAATTTAACAGTAGTACCTGGAATCTCATTTTAGGGTAGAAAACTAGAAAGGTAGCATCACATGGCCACTTATTCAAGTGCCTAGATGGTAGCATTCACCAGAATTCAGCACAATAAATTCATATAGACTAACCTTCTATTTCATAAACATTATGCATTGTGTAAAAAAATAAATCCTTCATACCACTACTACTTTCCACTCCAGGGAACTCAATCAATTTTCATTTAGCATATCTCAGGTTCCTAAGTGAAAAAAATACAAACAATAACAATGGCAGGAAATAATTTATTCTCTCACCATGTTCCAGACAGTTCTGTAAGTTTCCTACTATTCTAAGATTGGCAACTTGTGGTATTCCTGTGATTTCTGGCTCTCCCATAGTCCTGGATGTACAACAATTGTTGAGAGCATGGTCCTTGGAGCCAACTGTTTGAATTATTATCCTAATTATGCACTAAGTAGCTGTATGACCATGGGCAATTACTTAACCCCTTTGTACCCCAGATTCCTTATCTATGAAATAGAAATGATAATCAAATTTACCCCATAAATTAGTTTTAATGATTAATTAAGAAAATATGATATTATTAGGCAATAATAGAGAAGTTCTTCAAATAAGAAGTTGAACCAAGTCATCCTTTAATACATTACTATTATTTTCAATGTTGCTATCTTTTTATATTTATTTTATTTTTTTAATTTTTTAAACTTTTATTTAGTAAATATAAATTTCCAAAGTACAGTTTATGGATTACAATGGCTTTTTCCCCTCCATAACTTCCCTCCCATCCGCAACCCTCCCATCTCCTGCTCCCTCTCCCATTCCATTCACATCAAGATTCATTGTTGCTATCATTTTTACTACTAGTTCCATACATTGAGCAAATCACATATCCTTATTCTATGTGTGTAGGCTGAAAGATGTTTGTATGTCTTATATGTGAATATTTCACTAACTACACACATGCAATTTAACAACTAAAGTGCTAGAGTTTTAAAAATATTCTTGGAAATGTGTCGCTCCCCCTCTTCGTGGAGGAACGACACAGGACCCTGCGCTGTTCTTTTGTCTGCTCGACCCTCCCCGGGTTTGCTGCTGGTTCTTCCTGGGTTGGCTACCGTCCCTCCACCTCCGTGGAAGGGTGGTTCCCCCTGCCACCTTCCCCACTTCCGCGGGGGAGCGGCACACCGCCGGCCGGCTCTCTCGGGGGCTGCACAGGTGTTCCTTCAGATAGATGTTCCCCTTAGATGTTCCTGGTGCATGTTGTCTCTCTCCTCCTTTATAGTCCTCTTCCACCAATCCCAACTCTGCTACCCACATGCCGAGTATGCTGCTCTCCTCCAATCAGGAGCAGGTCCTACAGTTTGTTGGTTGAACTGGAGGCAGCTGTGTAGAAGCTGTTTCTCCCTTCTCAGCGCCATATTGTGGGAGAGCAGATGCATAGAATAAGTCTTAATTCCAGTAACAGTCTAGTCCGAGTTGCTCCCCACAGAAATGGAGCTTAAGAGAAATCTAAAGCTTGCCAAGTAAATTCTGGGGGTGAGGTTCAGCAATGTCTCTTCTTACAAACTCTTCCAATGACACTGATGCACACTTTAAGAACTGTGATTTTTCATCTTGCTGTCAAGTTTGATTGTTTTCCTGTCTGAACTGAGACTTGGTACAGATTGTAATGTATGTTATTCCTAAGAACTCAAGATCTGGGGGCTGTTTTCAAGCCTAACTCTCTTCTGAGGGATGCACGTCTTGTGCATCACACCTCATGGGAGCTGCTGTAATCAAGACACAGAGTCTGTGCTGATGGACTTGCCCAGTTCTTAATACATCCAGAGAAAAGAGTTGGGAACTATAAACAAAAGAAATACAAATGGACTTCTGAAGAATTAGTGTACTGATTATTCTTCCATTTTCCATCTATTTTCCTGATATGCAGTTTTTTAAAGATTTATTTATTTATTTAAAAGTCAGAGTTACAGAGAGAGAGAGAGAGAGAGAGAGAGAGAGAGAGAGAAAGTCTTCCATCTGCAGGTTCACTCCCCAAATGGCCACAAGGGCTGGAGCTGAGTTGATTTGAAGCCAGGAGCCTGGAGATTCTTCCGGGTCTCCCATGCAGGTGCAGGGGCCTAAGGATTTGGGCCATCTTCCACTGCTTTCTCAGGCCATAGCAGAGAGGTAGATGGGAAATGGGGCAGTCAGGACTTGAACTGGTGCTTATATGGGATGACAACACTGCAGGAGGCAGCTTTATCCCCTATGCCACAGCACCCACCCCTCTCATGGGCAGTTGCTGCAAGTTACTATGAATGACAGGATTAAGGAGTCTTGGTATCCAATATTGCGTAGCTGAAGGGATAAATACAGACATCATCTCTAGCAGCAAGCTTTTCACCCACATGTGCCTCCTTTACAGGCTGTGTTACCTTGGTGGGGTAAACAAGTGCTAGTTCTTGGCTTTGTGGGATGAGAAATATGAACTTATGCCTTAAGTTTATCAGTCTTTCTGTGATTACTTCATCCTTACCAAACTCAGATAATGCTTGTACTAAATAGAACAGCAAATGAATAATCAATAATAGAAATGACTTATGTTTTCAATTATTTGGGATCTTCTCTTCAAAGCACACAATCTCTGGTATAAGATATTTTAGGAAATTAAATGATGATCAAATGGTTTCTTATCTTCCTGTCCTGATGGGCTGATACATGATAGCTATTTATCACTAGACAAGCTCAGCATGTATGAGCTGATTTTACTAATCTAACTCTCAGAGAGGAGTTAATCCTTAGGCTGTCTCACTTTAAAATAATAACATTGAGAAACCACACGTTATCTCATGAAACCTCAGTGATCCTGTTGGCAATGGCAACATAGCATCAGAAGACTTCATTGTCTTTCTTTTAACCAAGTACCAAGTATTTATATTTACAATGATAAGTACTGAGAATACAAATAAATACTCAAAACACAAATAAGAAGAGTAAACACAGTCCCTGCCTCCTAATATTTACTGTCTAGTAAATGGTGTGTACATTAATATGTAAAAGGGAAATTCAACTCTACATGAGAAAGTCCACAATAGAAATTCTCACCACAGAGAGTTAGGGGGACCCCAAAGAGAGGCATATGTGAGAGAAGAAACTGGGGTTCAGTAAGTAGCTCTCTTTCCTGTGGCCAGTGCTGTGATGTAGCAGGGAAAGCTACCACCTGCCATGCCGGCATTCTATACGGATGTTCCGGCTGCTCCACTTCCAATCCAGCTCTGCGCTATGGCCTGGGAAAGCAGTAGAAGATGACCCAAGTCTTTGGATCCCTGCACCCACGTGGGAAGACCCAGAAGAGGCTCCTGGCTCCTGGCTTCAGATCAGCACAACTCTGGCCTTTGTGGCCAATTGGGGAGCGAACCAGCAGATGGAAGACCTCTCTCTCTTTCTCTCTCTCTCTCTCTCTTTCTCTGTGCCTCTCCTTCTCTCTCTGTGTAACTCTGACTTTTAAATAAATAAATAAATCTTATATTAAAAAAAAACCTCTCTTTCCTGTACTTAACAATGAAATCTGGTTTGGGATAGCCTTAGTTTTATAACAGCCATGTTTCTTATCTTCAACATAAATCTGCATCAGGGATATTTCTGAATATAGTCCATTCTTTAGAATGCTTATCAAGTGAACCCTGTGTGTAACTTTAAAGTAAATAGGTCTAGAAATTGATTATGTATAAAATGTTAGAGCACAGAATAGTGAATACAAATTATTATCTATTAGACAAATTATGTAATACATAACAACAAAAAAGCGTGCTTTGTCTCCAGCCATTGCAGACAATTGGGGAGTGAACCATCGGATGAAAGACCTCTCTCTCTCTCTCTCAGCCTCTCTTCTCTCTGTGTAACTCTGACTTTCAAATAT